CTTCAGGAGCTCCATTGATCAAGATGGAGAACCTGACAGTGCTTATACAGAATTTGATCCAATTGATCCATTTCCTACCAAAACCCATCTTCTGGAGAGTTCCAAGCAAAAATTCCCAATTGACATGGTCAAATGCCTTTTCAATATCTAACTTGCACATAATTCCTGGCCTCTTCTCCTTGAGTCTGGAATCTACACACTCATTTGCAATCAAAACTGCATCTGTGATTTGTCTTCCTTTTATAAATGTCATTTGTTGTGAGTCTACCAATTTGTGCATCACCCTTTTCAATCTTTCAGTGAGTAACTTGGAGATCAATTTATAAATGCTGCTTATGAGACTGATAGGCCTAAAATCCCGTAACTCCTTGGCACCACTCTTCTTAGGTATCAATGCCACATAAGTGGCATTAAAGCTCTTTTCAAAGAACTCCTAAGAATGAAAGTTCTGGATAGTAGCCACTATGTCTGATTTCACCACGTTCCATCATTTGATAAAAAAAACCATAGTGTACCCATCCGGCCCCGGAGCTTTGTCTATTGCACAAGTCTTTGAGCACTCTAAGACTTCATTCTCCTCAAAAGCATTTTGCAGTGTCTGTACTTCAGCTTCAGAAATATAGGGGCAATTGTTCATGTTGTAGGTAGGTCTCCATACTTCAGTTTCAGAGTACAGATTCTGATAGAAAGCAATAATCTCCCTTTTGATCTCAGCTGGTTCTTCAATACTCTCCCCATCCACCTCTAATTTGCTAATGTTATTGAATCTTTTATGTGCATTGGCAGTTCTTTGGAAGAACTTGGTGTTCCTGTCTCCTTGTTTGAGCCATAGTGCCCTAGATCTTTGCCTCCAACCTATTTCTTCCTTTGTAGCAAATTCTTCGAATTCAAAGTAGAGATTTGCTCTCCTGGACATCTCCTCCTCATTAAGGTCCTCTGTTGTTGGGTAGCATCCAACTCAGCAATTTGGTTCAATATGAGGCTTTTCCCCCTCTCCAGATTGCCATAGCTGTTCGAGATCCATTCTCTCAATTTTCCTTTTAGGGCTTTTAGTTTGCAAGCAAGGATGTAATCCGGTCTTCCTTCAAAGATGAAGGATGACCACCAGCTCTGGACTCTGTCAGTAAAGCCTTCAGTCTCCAACCACCAGTTTTCGAACTTGAAGTAGGATTTAGTGTGCTCCCAACTGCCACACTGTAACATTAAGGGTGTGTGATCAGAACAAACTCTAGGAAGAATTTCTTGTTTATGCTCTCATTCCACTCCATCGAAACCAGGAACCTGTCAATCTTTGAGATGGTCTCCTGACTGTTCCCTCTAGCCCATGTATAGATGCCATCTTCTAATGGAAGATCAACCAAGTCCATGTCTTCTATGAATTTAGAAAATTCAGTCATCGATTTGTAATTCTGCTGCAATTCCTCTTTTCAGAGGGAAATCTGATTGTGTTGAAGTCTCCAGCAACTACCCAAGGCCCTGTGAACAGACCTCTAGTACCCCCTATTTCCCACCACACTTCCCTTCTTTCTCTGATGCAATTAGGAGCATAAACTCATGTCATGTGCCAATTAAAGTCTTGTGAATGTGACTCAAATTTGCAAGTCAATGACTGAGCACCCGTGGTTACTACCTCCCCTTTCCAAACTTTACTATCTAATAGCATTAGGATACCACCTCTAGTGCCACTAGCCTCCAATTGCCCATATTTTATACCCTTGACCCCCCAGATTTCTTTGACAATCCCTTCTATATCCCCTTCTATTTTCGTTTCTTGGAAACTGTATACATCAGCTTTCCAGTCAAGAATCAAGCTGCTAATCACCCTTCTCTTCTTCCTACGATTCAATCCCCTCACATTCCATGAAATGATTTTCACATTCATTGATCAATGATTAAGATTTCTTTCCCCCTATTCCTTGCCCCAGAACTTTGAACTTCATGTCGAAACCAAGCCCTTTAATTCCTGACTGCCTTTCCTTTTAGGAGTCACCATATTTACTGTTTCTGCTTCTTGCCTCTTTGCTTGCCTGCATCTGTCAATCTTCTTAAATAAAGCCAAGGCATCCTCTTCACATCCCTGGAAGTCAACTCCAAATTGTTTGCTGAGTTTAATAACATTCTGATGAACCCATAAGGTTGCGTCCATCTCCCCCTCTAAATCGTCACTTTGCAATTGTATCTTCAGAGGTTCAACTTCCTCAATTGCCCAGTTATCATATTCAGTTTGCACTATCATTTGCATGTCCTTGCTGCCTCCCACCCCATCAATTTGAATACCCTCACCGTCGATATTAGTCATAGCATCCTCATATTTATCACCATCTTCATGATGCATCTGTTGCTCTCTCTCCTGTATGATAGAGAAAGGGATTTCTCTTTCTTCGTTCTTTTCCACTTCAGAAGTTTGAGCAGTGTTAAGTGGGGAGAAAGAGATTGCTTCGATTTCATTGACTAAGGGATCCACTTTATTCCAATTGGGTGTAGTGAAATGGGCCGAAATTAGAAATTGGGCCTCCTCACTTATAATAGAGTCCAAAGGCTTCTTCTGTAGATTAGGTTTTGGGGGATAGGTAGGTTTGTGGGCCAGAACTCTTTGGGCCCTTTCACGTGACCCTTCCACTTTATCTGATTTTGAAATTAGCACATTTCTTAATGTTCCCACGTGACCGACCCTATCATTAATACCCCTGTACGCCTTTTGTACTTCATGATAGGGTTTTATTGCCCAGTGACATACACTGCTTTCTTCTCACATCATCATCTTCTTCATCGTCTTCTCCGGCAGCCACCCTCGTTGGAGATTCACACCAGATCGGAATAGTAAAGTTTACTCTCTGGTCAACTATTACCACTTCCCTCGGTGTTTTCTCCCCATCACCTCTAATTTTAATCTTTGCCCATTTGAGATGGTTCTTTAAGGAAGTTTCTTCCTCAGTTTCTAGCCAACCACCACAAAGATCTCCAATAGCTTTGAATATTTTCTCAGTCCAGAAGTGCATTGGGAGACTCATAGCTCTAATCCATGTCCAATCTCTTTATTGGTTGATTGAGCAACAGCCGGCCGTCGGTGACCACCATTCCAGATGAATTTTTGCTCGCTTCCACCTCCATTCCCCTTTAAGGATGTGTTCTGCCATGTACTTGTTAGGAAATTGAAAAGGAAAATTGGGTCCGGCCATTTCGTAGGCATCGACTCCAAAGGCTTTCTTCCAAGTGTTCACTGACCATCGCCGGATGTCGGGAAGGGTTGGTTTTTCGTCCAAGCCCTCGTCAAAACTTCCAACAATGCACCTGCTCAGCAAACCATCATCTGTGTTGATATCACCATCGGAGATTAATATTCTGTTGTTGGGATCATGTGTAACGTGGACTTCATCGCACTCCCTTGACTGCCATTTGCTGACTTTAACAGACGAAGTATAGGAAATTTTTGGATCTGCCTTCTTGGGACCATTTGTCATAAATGTCCTTTTATTTTCATTAATGAAGTTCCTGATCTTAAATGCGATTTCATTCCATCCCGCATTAAATGTAACTTCTGGAATAATGGTTACTGCTCTGTTGTCACCTTGGAAAGTAACAATGCTAAAAAGTCTTCCAAACTTGTTGTATTTCCTGGAACTGTAGAATGATGAATATTGCTCCTTTAGCTGCCATTTCCTTACAAACGTACCAGCATCTTTTGAGGCCTCTTGAAGGACAAAACACAGCAACTCCATAGTTTTCCAGCTAAAGGTTGATCTACGCATGAGATTACGACTCCATTCCACCCATTCGAACCAAGTTTCTGCTCTTGATTCGAGCCTTGTAATGTCATACGATTTGAGACCAGCTGTAAAATAAATCCTATTATCACCCATAATGAACCAGAATAATTTTTAAGATTAATCACTACTTTGATTATGTGAAAAGAAGAAGAAGGTTTGGTAGTAATCACAGTGGGTGATTACTGATTTAGAAGAAAGAAAGGTTTGATAGTAATCACAGTGGGTGATTACTGATTTAGAAGAAAGAAGAGTTAGATTCCGGTGAAAGATTACGCCGGAAAAGGTATTCTGCAGTCCTAGGAAGTAGGAAAGAGAAGATTCTCGGGAAGAGTGCGTGAGAGCATCTTAATTGTGCCCATGCATTTTTTGGTTGACAAGTGAGGGGAAGCAATATTCACATTATATGCTTCTATGCATCCTGTCTAACATAATAGAACAAGATTTATTTTTTTGAAAGAATATAACAACCTTTTCTTCGGAAAATAATTTCATGCTTTGACATCTTATCACCTCTCAGTCGTCACTATATTTTGCTTTACACCAAAAATAAAAAAGAAGAATACAATTCATCTTAATTTTCTGAATAGAGCTAATTGTATCCGCGAAGCAACTTGCCTTTTGTGCACGTTATGAATTATGATTAATATACCACTAACTGTCTAATTTGTTTGATCATGTCACGGAAATCGTCCAACAAGCTAGAACTCTTCTTATATAATAATATCAAGATAGATTAATGCAACTTCACATATCAGAAAAACTCTGCAAATAGGAAACAATTAAGTCATTAATGATGTAGGGGGAGACGAGGACAAATGGGTTAATATGATCCACTACAACTTCCACCAGCATAATGAATTTGCTTAGCCTCTCATAAATGAGGAAAACCCACATAAAAGTTTTACTCTGATTGCAGAAATTCTTCACAAATAATATGACTATCAGATACCAGGGCAGTAGAATACCCTCATTACCAGAAACTGAATCATGGAGAACTAACGAACTGCAAGAGATCTCAGGTAAAAAAGGACAAACAGTAACTCAGAGTCGAGGCATAAGAACTTCGCGTACCTTGTCTTGACCACCAACATCCTGATGTTCTAACTACCTGAGATTCTGGAAAGAATTTGCAACTTTGAAATATTAATGACTTGTACAGGACAAGATAGGAGTAATTATAATGGAAGAGACCTGCTAATGAGTAGCCGCTGATAGAGCTCGGACAANTTAACAGTAGGCAAAGGCCACATATCCATCCCAAATTCATCATCGTCTGCATTGAACAACCCCAGGCATTCCCATCATTAACAACTGCATGGTTGTCGTGGCAAGAACCTGAAATTCCTTTAGGCCGACCAGGAAAAGAGACTGTAGGTGCATCAGCATGGTTGTTACTATGAATAGATGTAGAAGATAAGTGACTCGTTTTCTCCGTTCGAATCGCTTAGGACAATAACTTCTTCATCTCCTGAGGGTGCTGGTGGATTACGACCGTTGAAACAATATCTCGGGCCAAAATTTTGGGATATGGTTTCAAGCTCAAACCCATATGTTAGAAATGTCAAAGTTAACATCCCCATCCTGATTAACACTGGGATCTTCACCTTCCTTGCCGCTACCAGTGGCACTACTGCTCATGGCAATGATATCCTGAATCTGATTTTCAAAACTCTCTCTTACACTATTTTTATATGGCAATGTCTGCATATTTTCAGGTTTGCTAATTTCCCAAAAACCATTTCTGCTCTTCTTCAACCCAACTTTTAGTCCACTGTGGCTTTCAGAGCCTCCTGCCTGTTTAACATGCTTAAGAATTCCAGGCTTAATTTTTGGCACTATATCCTGAGATTCAATGAGATTCCCATCAGGTAAGTGCCACCGCCCTAGATCCCCAAGATTCCTTCGGTCGCCTTCTGTCTTTGCACGCCAAGAACCATTAGGTTTTACTTCAATCTCAGTCATTTCTTCTCCACAAGTTCGCAGCTACACCCGAAAAGCCGAAAAAGGAAACACAAATAAGAATAATGAGGTTAAAAGAGTTAAGATCACAAGCAACACCAGCAATACCTGGGAAGTGAATAATAAATGAGACCAACAAGGTTAAAACAATGTATGATAACAAGAAATAACTACCCATACCTGAGAAGTGATCCGATTAAAATATGGGTCTATAATCACATGCTCCACGGAGTAGTTCTTGAGACAGATAGGGCATTCCCACTACATCATATGAACAACATTTGTTACTAAATATATCAGCAGATACAAGAGACATATTTTTATCTGAATTAAGCTGATAGAAATTTTGATAAGGGTCCTAGATGCTTGCCTTCCTTGACCTTTGATTCATTTCAACAGACTTCAAGATCAAAGCAGCCCATATGCACACAAGGTTTGAATCTTCCGGCGACTTTCATTCTTGAACCACTCATCTGTAAATAGACGCAAACGAGAATGTCAAACAGTGGGATCCTTGTTGTGTCAAAAAGTGGTAAAAACATGCAACAAACCATCAAAGAAAATAAATCAAGCCAATGAAATTAAATTATTCAAATTAAAGACATCCTAGCCTCCCTTAAAAAAGGAACTTGTCACATGATAGCAAGAGGAGGTCGAAGTCCTTGACGAGTCAACAATACATCAATTTTATACCAAAAAAATAGTAGGAGGTGGAAGTCGTGCTGACTTTTTTTTTCTTTTGTGATAAATGAGAAATCCCCAAGGGCCAGCTGGAGCACAGTTCGGAACTTAGTGGATAATAGGTCCAGCCCTCTACCCTTCTCCAATTAAATACCAGACTTTTGTCTGTGGCAAGTTCTAACTCGTTGCATCTACCCCTCTAATATGCTTAAAAAATGTGCTACACAATTGCTCTGATCACATATGAAGAGACTTCTTGGTGTAAGCTACAGCCACTTTGCAACAGCACAAGCTCTCAGCTTGTATGTCTATCTCAAACCAAACGAAAATGGAAAGAGAGAGTCGGGGGGAATAAAAATCTATCCTATAAATAAGAATTCTTTATGAGTGACGTAACCATAGCATTTTAGCAGCTACTTAGGTGAAGATAGTGAAACTCATTTGGAGAATGCTCTATTTTAAGTATTAATCAGTTTCTTCTTTCGGCAACGAGACAGAATGAATACAGAGAAGAAGAGACTAACACCACAGAGAAAGTGGAGAAGAGATCATACAATAATTAAGCATGATAAAAACACCAAAAAGGGACAGCAAATAAAAGAGGAATACAACGTCGGCATTTGCTTACAGGGCATCGAAGATTGACTGGAATAAAATCAGCAACAACTTCAAGGTCTTGCAACCAAAGAGACAGTGGTCCACCTTCAAGTATCACCAGTAATCCCCACATGAACAAGAGCCATCTTTGAAATGGTGAAACCGGTTATTATCTCTAATAATGATCTCCCTAGAGACGATTTTACAAATGAATTTGAATGCTGTATGGCAGTCCAAACAAATCCGAAGGTTCTTCTTCACTCTAATAGGAGCACCAGGAGGTGTAGCAATCAGCCCAAATGCAACAGCTAGTTTCTCGCTGTGATAGGAGAGAAGAATCTCCTTTTGTTTCCTCTCTACATCATGGAGATCAGTATCCACCATAGGAACATAACCAGCTTTAGCCATTAGCTGTCCCAACTCCTCTAGTTTGGCATATATTTCATCATTTCGCAAATGGCTTCTGTCTCCCACTATAAATGTGAAAATACTATCTTTAATTTCAATCCAACTCATACCAGGTTCCTTTTTTACTCTACTGTCCTTCATCAGTCTTCTTACTTTTGCGACATCTCCCCACAACCCAACTGATGCATAAATATTTGCAAGAAGAACATGAGTGCCAGATTTCTCTGGTTGAAGATTAAAAAGCATCTCAGCAGCACGTTGCCCTACCTCTACATTCTTATGGATTCTTGCAGCACCCAGAAGTGCACCCCAGACAGATGCATTAGCTTCAAAAGGCATCTTATTTACGAGATCAATAGCGTCATTTAATTTTCCAGCTCGGCCCAGGACATCAATCATGCATGCATAATGCTCTTGAGTTGGTTCAATCGCAAACGAGTCTTTCATTGTTTCAAAATACTT